TTTGGAAGGGTTGCCAGGAGAAAGCCTCTTCTCTCTGAAAAGAATATGGCAGCATGGCTTAGGTTTGCAAAGTTGCATCTGAACAAATCACAAGACTTCTGGAACACTGGGAACCCCAGTGCAGCTTTAATATCTGGTACAGACTTATTTATCTATTGTTCTTTTTTCAGGAGCATTACAGCAGGGATGAGCAGTCTTTTTGTGGCTAAGGGAAGCCATGGACATTTTTCCATGTCTGTATCTGTCAAGGCCACACCAGTGGAGAGATAATGACAGGGCCAGGCAAAGATTTTCAACAGGAGTGGTCAGAGATGCATTTTGTTTCAAATTTCAACAAAAGTTTATACATTTTAGCAATTACATGTTCACCATCAGTACGCAATTTATTTCAAATTCTGACTTACTTTGTTCCACACCATAAGTCTTTTTATCCATTTTAAATCTTCAAGTAACTATAAATAGGAAGATCATTGAAAACTCTATCCTTCTGCTGTTGTTCTCTTGATTTGATCTTAAATTCCCTTTGATAGTTTTCCAATGAGTCCTGATACATCAACCATTTATCTTTATCTGCTATTCCTCTTCTATAATATGCTTCTTGAGCTGAGATTCATAAAGGTGTTTTCAAGCACAACCTGGGTTTATATCTATTCCATATTCTCAATATGGCACGTCTAATAAAACAATCTTTAAAATCCACATTAATTTTAACTTTATCATACCATAAATATCATGCCATCCAAACTTCAGGTTGTAATCTTCTTGTTTCTCAGCAACATCCATTCTTTCATCCAGGCTAAACAACAAGCAACAAAATACAATTTCAAATCTGGTAAACCCAATCCTCCTCTTGCCTTTGCATCTTGTAACACTTCACATTTAACTCATGCTTTTTTCCCTTGCCATATAAATTTAGATATGTCTTTCTGCCATTGTTTAAATGGTACATCCACTGTCAAAACAGGTATTGTCTGAAACAAAAACATCATTCTTGCAAAACATTCATTTTTATCACAGAAATTCTTCCCAACAATGACAGTTTTAATTTCTCCCATCTTAACATGTCCTTCTTAATTTCAGTCCATGTCATAACATAATTATTTTGAAATAACATAGAATTCATATTAGTCACAGTAATACCCAAGTATTTTACTTTTTTCTCAATCTTAAAGCCAATTTTCTCCATCAGTTATATTTGATCTTTTAGTTTCATATTTTTTGTTCACATCTTTGTCTTTTGATTATTAATCTTGAAACTTGCTAATATACCAAAGTCCTTTAATTTTCCCATTAATGCTTCTACTCTCTCCAGTGGGTCTTCTAAAACTAACACCAAATCATCTGCAAATGCCCTTAACTTATAAGTTTCTTTTTTAATCTTAACTCCCATAATTTTCTGATTTCATTTTATGTCTCTATTTAATACCTCAAGATCCAAAAAGAACAAAAGTATAGGCAGTGGACATCCTTGTCTTGTCCCTTTTTGAATCTCACAAGATTAAAGTGCTGCTGTAGAACTGGTCTCTTGTCTTCTTCTGACAAAGTGCACAAGGACATCTCTTGGAATGTTTCTTAATTTTGCAAAACGTGTATTGATTATATTGACCTTATCAATTTCTCTATCAGTATCGTCTTCCTTCCAATTCAGGAAGTCAGACTGAGATTTAACAATCTTTTCTCTGATATCCTCTCCATGTTCTTCTAGAATTGCCCTAAATCTTAAGCAGAATTCTTTTTCTCTCAGTTCCAGTAATGCCAAATTGTCCAAATCCTTCCCTATCTCTCTATTTTTAGCTTCTGTCTTACTTCGTAAAACTTCCGCTTTGTCAGTAATTAGTTTTAAATCTGCAGCTAGTTGCCCATTTGAAACTTTCTTATTGCACAATCTTATTAAGCTTTTTGCTTTTAAATTAAAATCCTTTTTTTCTCTTCTTAATTTCAAAAAGAAGGCACTTACTGAGTGTTTTTTTATCTTCACTGCCTTTCGGAGTATCTCTCTTAGGTTGTAAAGTGATTAAATCATAAAGTGATGAAAAAGGTGAGGCTTTTGCCAGTCCAATGTCCATAAAGACTACACAGCAATCTAAATTGTAAATCCCGGCTCCCAAGCTACTCAACCCACAATCAACCACAAGAAATTAAATTCCTGTACTTTTGTCATGAGAAGCAGCTCTTCCAGACCACAAATGGTTAATCCCAATTTCTCCTTCCTTGGGAGAAATTTCTGTCAGCCAGAACAGTCTCCTGGCCAAAAACTCTACTGCTGTTCTGTCAACTGCTTGCAGAGCCACATGCAGAGATGACTAACTGGCATAACAACCCACCCGGAAGCCAGGCCAGTTATATCTCTAAGACTCTGATAGCTGCTCTTTCTTATTTTTCAAACATACCTATTTCTGGGTAGTGATTCTGTCTTCCAATAAATGAAATTTAGTGAGTTCCTGGGAATAAATATATGCCTTCAACCAAACAGGACTCATATCCAGAACTGTCCCTTGAACAATAGGATCTCTCTGTTATCTGGCTTACATCACCATGAGACAACCTAACTAGCCATAAGCTATCTCCCACACAGATAAGCCTCGTACCAGGACAGAGTATTATTAGCGAAAAAAGGATACTGCAACGTGAGCCATTTATATTGCAAACTTTAAAAAATCGTGAAACATAACAAAACGTTAACAATCTTTTTCTCTATCTTTAAAGGTCTAAGTTATCAAAACATTAGAGTGTTAATAATCTGTAGTCAATACTGTATAAATACCATTGAATGGAAATAATATATTGTATTATGTCTTATATAATATAATAAAACAATTTAAAAAAATGTTAATGATCAATTTACCAGAACTAATAGCAAAAAAATATGTGATATATTACACATTGGAACATTAACAATAGCGAGCCTAAAAAGTTATGACACATTAAAAATTGGCTACAACCTTGTATTTCCATAATTAGCAATAAGATCCACTAAGTAAAGTTGAGATTACTTTTTAATAGATATGCATAAGATTCTGCTCTAAAAAAAACTACTGGTTAACAGCTCATAAAAACAGGGAACCTGATTACTCAACATTGACCATACATTTATAAAAACACAGCTGTGCTAAAAGCAGATTTAAATACAGCTCTGAATAGGCCATTTTTTTTCCAAAAGAATAGTTAAAACATTCTCAAAGATTGTATTTCAGGGCAGCCGCTCACTCATCTGGCTCCTGTTCAGTAACTAAAATTTAACAAGTTCACGTCATTTTTGACTGAGCGGGTGGGTTCCTGGTTTACATTACTGAAAGTTAAAGGATACAAATAAACAAAATGAAAAGTATTTTTAAATCACTTAGGGAGATTCCAGGGCATGCTCAGAAACTTCAAGTACGGGAATACTAGAATCATCTGTTTTTTGTAATGTAAGCCTAAACAACAGATTTTTCACAAATAGAGTACTTTTACCCAGACACACCAACTATATGGAAATCCCAACTAATGTTTTTAAAAAATGAATTGGCAGAAAAGAGTATACACTTTTTTTTTAACATCAGGCAGCAGTAGAGTAGCAAAGTTTCCAAAACATGGACCCCCCCCCCCCAAAAAAATCATTTGTTTTCTAGATTCCAGAATGCCACTGGACATTCTGGAGTCAGAGACAACAAACCCTATCTTTATGCCAGATCCAAAACCTCTTCTCTTTCTCTTTTGTCTCAATGAGCTCTTGGCTGTTCTTTTCCCAGCCTTAATATTGTATTTGCATCTGCACAAGAACTGTGTCTGAATGAGCAGTGCTGGTTCCCACCTCATTAGCTTCAACCCTTACATCTATCTTGCAGCTCATAGATTACTCCTGAGACAAAGTAAAAGAGTTTATCTGAATCATGCTGAAGGACTGAGTTTGGAGCTCACATAAACTCATAATTATAAATTTAAAATGATCTCATTGTTCTTCTTTGGTATCTTTTGGTATTCTTCTTTCAGATGCTACAAAAATTATTTTGTAGCATCTGAAATACTGCCACAGCCTGTTCCCCATGGCAAACTTTTAATTTTTTTGTAATAATCTTGATTTTAATTTTAATTGCATTGATTTTACTGTTTTATATTTTGTACTTTTTAATTCGTGTAAGCCACCTTCAGTGTTTACAGAAAGGCAGGTATATATTTTATATTATATTATATTATATTATTATATTACATAAATAAATAAATAAATAAATAAATGAAATTCATGTATGTTAAAGCTAAGTTCTTTGGTTTAAGAAGTAGGGGCTTTGGAGCTGTAGTCACACACTTCAAGTTCTCAGTATCAAAGTTACTATCGACTATTGCTCTCCAATGACAATAAGATTGCTTCTGCAAGTTAGCCTTTCTTCCTTAATAATTCCAACATGTATAAATGCATGAAAGAAAGGTAAGATAAGAAGCTGAGAAAGTTATATTATATTGGCAGACTCAAAGGTATCTTCCACAGAGCATAAACTTGCAGATTTTCTAATGTATGCTGGAAAATATTAGGAAATATTACCAAATATTAGGAGCACTGAGCACCTGTTTGTTTAGTTATCAAATTGGTGTGCTGCCCAACTCCCAATGACTCTGGGTGGCTCACAGCAACTAAAACAAGAGAAATACAATTACTAGCAAGTTTTTTAAAAAAAAAAGACAGGAAGAATGACAAACCAGACAGGAACAAAGCAAAGGCCTGTTGCAATTGCTGATATTGTTCAACCTTCTGAATGAATGTGATCCCTGGAAGACTATTCTGGTAGATGACATGAGTGGGAATGAGACAAGAGTACTGATGAAGTAACAGGGCCATTCAGAGACACAAGAACCATGAGCATCTGTTTACAAAAAGGTCTGTTTGTTTCAAATATGTGTTTCAAGTCCATTTATCCATACCTAGTACGCTATAGAGGAAACCAGTCCTTTCAATTAATATGTAACTAAGCCTGGCTACCCAGGAAGTTAAACTGCATATTTTCAGATGAGGTGATGCAGAAAATAGCAGGTGTTCCAACGGTGCAGTTTTTTATGATGTTTTTTTAAACCTCGGTACACTCAGCAGCAAACAGCAACATATTTTGAGTCCTCAGGGTCAAACTCCATCCAAATCAAGTGTCCCACTGAAAAGAAATGCCTTTCTGGACAGGAGCATGGGTGAGAAAAGCAGCACCGGGATTGACGTTTCCTTCCTCCCTCTCCGCGAAATTGAATGCCTGGAATAAACTGAGACTCCCCACGTAGTTTCCTTCATCGGTGCTGGTTCAAGAAACAAAACGGAACAAAGCATGGGGTGTTCTGAGCTGGGAAAGCTGCACAGGGCCTTTACCTCAGTGTCATCTGCTCTTCCCTGGCCAACCCGAGGCAGCTTCGGAAGAAAGCCTTCAGCAGCCAGGCAGCCCAAGCGTAAGGAATCGTGCCCGGGAGAGGGGGCAGCGGGAGGTGTGGCTATTGCGAGGGAAATTCCCGGAATCTAAGTCTGTATTTGAGGCGAAGGGGCCTCCCACACCCGCCACAGGCTGCAGGAGGTCGCCTTCCGCTCCGCCTCAGCCGCCCGGCGCTTGGCCCGCAGAGAGGACGCGGCGCGGGATCGTTCGTGGCGTTTTCTGAGGAGGCGAGTCAGGCGTTGCGAAACCACCGCGGAAAGCTGCGTAATCCCTACCCGGGGGATTTCGGAAGGCAGCGGAGTGAGTAGTAACGCTAGAGGCGCTTCTTTATTTCGCTGCCTCTATTTTCTGTTCTTCTGACTCTTTTTTTAGCGACTAATCCTGGATTTATGAAGCGTTCCTAACCAAGCGAGTCCGCGTCCAGGGTCCCAGTAGTTCAGTGGGAGTTTTGAGAAAGCATGCGTAGGATTGCTTTTATATTTTACGTTTTGCCTTCTGTGGGCAACTGGAATGCAAAGGAGCAGTGCCGAGAAGGTAGAACTCATTTGGACGCGAACTGTCTTGTGATGATATCCAAGTTATCGCGTCTGTGCAGATGACCGGAAAGGGGTTCTAAAGGTGTTCCCGGTGACGTGTATGAAGGAAAACATACTGGGAAAACGTTGTCATGTGTTTTAAGTTTAATATCCCAAATATTAAAGGTGCAATGACGATATTGTGCTTTGGGGAATATATGAATTGTGTAGAATCACTGCTGCTCCCTTTTATGTAGGGAGGAGACTTGCAAAGATTCATTTGATTCTCCAACAGTGACCAAGTTAGGTAACTGTACAGCCCTTAACCCAAAGTCATATGTGTGTATGTATGCTCATACATGAAGGTGTGTGTAAAATAGACATAGTATCACATGTAGCACCTTTGCCTGTAATTTTCATTTGAAGTTTGAACCAGCTGTGTTGACCAGACTAAGCCCCACCCTACCATTCAGTTATTATGGGTCCTCACATTTCTTGTACTGTGCAAGATGTGATGAATTAATATGCAGGACTAATTTTTTTGCCAGAAAACAAACACTCTTTGCACAATCACCTTGCTAATGAAAATATGCAACGCCTCTCTCTGGCTGCTGCCCTCCTAATGTTTAAGTGCACGGTTGACTTCTTTCTTTCACATTCACTGTAAGAACTGGTTAGTCTCAGTTACTGTTGCTATTGCTGTGGCTATGATTTCTCTGCGTTGCTTACTGATAATCAAACTTGGGCTGCTAATCATGGTCATGTTCTTACCTATTATATATTCTGTATAACTCTTATGGACATCTACATGATAGTGATAGATCTACTAGTCGTTGGAGTACACTGGCAAGAAGTACTTGAATCTGTACAGCCTTCAACACAAGAGTGTCTTATCTGAAGTCACTGGTTGATTCAGCCTAGCATTCTCAACACCGACTGGCAGTGGTTGATCCAGAATTGCAGCTGAAGTTTCCCCAGCCGCTGCCACTGAGCTACAGCCCTACTTGGTTTGTCTGTTTCATGGATCATTTTTCTTTTAAGCCATTAAAACATCAGAAATAAGACTGGCTGGGTGGAGAAACTCTGGAATGGGAAGGGATCTATAGGCAGAAGGCAATTTCATGATTCTCCATTTATGTCCCTTGGTGTCTAAATTTAAGGCAGATTCCATCATATGTAGTCTGGCCCAGATTTGTCACAGATGGGAGATAATCATGTTGCCTGGGCATGCTTAATCCTACAAGAAGTAAATGGATGTAAATGCACTACAGTTTGTTTCTCCAGTGGGTGTTAATCACAGAGAAATAGGGATGGCATTCCCAGAATACTCAAGGGAATTTAGAGAAGCAGGAAGAAAGTGATCTATCATTCTATAATCGATTATAATCTATAATTTCACCCTTCCATTGCAGTCACACTGCTCATTGTCTTGTGCTGAAATTTGCTTGAGGTCTGTGTACAGTATATTATTCCCCTAGTTGTGACAGGAAATGATAATCTGTTTCTCTCTTGAAACAAGGATCAAACTGACCTGAATGTTTTAGTCTTCATAAGTGGTTCCTTTCTCAGGACAGAATTAAGTATGTATGGTAGTAACGTATTTGGAAAATAAACTCTGTGCACTTTGTTCAAACATACTCATTTTTGTTGAGTAGCACTCAAGAAAACTAATCAGGCGCAAGAAAATTCCTTCTTGGGTTCCTTTTGTTTTTTTCTTCTGTGCTTTTCTCTCATTTTGTCTTGCATCCCAGCTCTTCAAAAGCCAGGTATGCAAGCCCTGGTTCCCAAGGAATCAGGGATTGGAGATCTAGGAACCAGTGCAAACCACAGCAAGTTAAATCTTAATTTTGTTTTCGGGAAAATGAACAGAGCTGTACCCTTGTTATCATTTCTCACTTTCTTTTTATATTCCTGAGACAACCCTTGAAGAATCCATTGTTACTGGGTAGTTCCTTAACCTTGATATACATAATAAAGGCTTGATTTTGTTTACTGAATCTAATTAACATATTCTCTCTTCTTGTCTAATCTAACCGACTCTGTAAATGAGTTTCTACCTCATTAGTAAACTCTGCAGAGAGACTTTTCCTTGGAATAAAGTAGGTAGGGACAGTGTACTAAATAGGCTGTCTCTAGGTGTGTGAGAAGGTACGGGAGGACTATAGGCGCTCAGCAGGCCTCTAAGGAGGCAGGGAGCCCATTCTGGCCCATCCCTATGTGTGTCTACAACAGTGCATCATATTACTGCTTTCTGTGAGTTTTGGAGTTCTGATTAATTTCAGAATTCACTCTATGCTGTCTGAAATGACAAAATTGTATGGTTACATATCATACTAGTACAGTCAATAGAAGCATACATCTTGTATGCCTTACAAACTTACTCTGTCTTTCTGAAAAGTAAGATATATTCTTTTTGCTTGTACAGGTTAAGATGCCGGGCATGAGGTGCAGGAAGGAGGAGGTGGGTAGAATATTGGTTGACTGCTAGTTTTGCATCCTCCAATTGGCCAGCCAGAAGAAAGTGGCAGTGTACAACAGTGAAGAGACTTGTGAGGCCCCACAGAACTGTTTCAGAGGATAAGAGAGTTGAAGCCATGGAGATGCCTTATATTCCAAAAGTTTCTTGTTCCACTCTGGATTGTTCTCTGGCATTCTTACAACAAACCATACATAATTCTGATACATTTTTTTTAAAGACAAAAATATAGCTATTAGTGTAGTTCCTGAAGCTTTGGATTTCCAAACATTGCTTTGGATTTGGCTCTGAGTTGAACTGAATGACTTAAATCTGCCCATGTTGAATCAAGCAGCTTTCATAATGGGGTATAAACTGTATTTTATTCCCTATCTGGGGTATAAACTGGATCTTGTGGTCAATATATAGTCTAGCTGAATGCATAAGAAATAATGCCCAACTGTCATTAAAGCTCTGTGTATGTCTGTAAATATTGGCTGTATGATAATTTTTTTACCAAATTAATTAAAATTAGCCAGATATATTATGCATTATAATATGCTAATGATATTATATATATTTTTTACCTTTTAGATAATCATGATTTTGCCAATTTGGAGTCTTTGGTTCATCTCAACTGCTGGAGCTGAAAGTCTTTCTACTGAAAAGATCATTCCATTTTGTGACCTTGCTCATTGCAACTTTTCTGGGAAGAGTTTGCACACTGTTCCACTGGGTATATCAGATGTCGTCTTGGAACTGGACCTGGCCTTCAATAACATAGTACATATCAGAGATGGGGACCTGAAGTTTGCAGTCAATCTTACAATGCTTTTGCTTCAATCCAATTTAATTCACACAATTGACAAGGATGCCTTTGACTTCCTTGGAAAGCTAGAGTATTTGGATTTATCAAAGAACAATCTGACCTACTTGTCACCCTCTTGGTTCAAACATCTTTCTTCTTTACAGAAGTTAAACATAAAAGGGAACTCCTATTCGAAACTGGGAGAAATTCCATTATTTTCTGGCTTACAAAAGCTGGGATATCTGTACTTGGGAAATGATAAGTTCTCCTCTTTACAGACAAAAGATTTTGAAGGAATTTCAGTTCTTGAAGAACTGGAGATTGAAGGACAAAATCTTAAACAATATCAACCAGGAACTCTACAGTCTCTTGAGTACATAAATCAAATGTTTTTGAATGTTCCTATCAACTCCATATTGCATCAGATAATAATTGATGTTAGAAATTCTGGGGTGTCTCTTGAGTTGAGAAATATCCAACACCACCACCTTTTATCCCTTATCTCTTATTTCAGAGAGGTTCCAGTGACTGCTCAGAAGCTTGTATTTAGAAATATTGAACTTTTAGAAAAACATGTTGCGCAGTTACTTGATGTGTTATCCCGTATGAGTCAACTACAAGAGTTAGAACTTATAAATAGCAAATTACAGGGTACTGGGTATTTCAATAATACTCAGACTATTTCAAATAATGTACATATAATAACAATTAGAAATTTAAAAATAGATTCATTTTATTCATTTTCAGATCTTTCATCTATGTTGTATCTTGTAGAGAATATTACCAGACTGACAATTGAAAATTCGAAAGTTTTTCTTGTGCCTTGCAATCTTGCAAAAGCATTCCATTCAGTGCAGTACCTTGATTTCAGTATAAATTTGTTTCAGGATTTGTTATTGGAGCATTCATTGTGTCCAGGCAGTTGGCCTAAACTTCAGACTTTCAATGTTAGTCAAAATTCTTTGAAAGATGTTGATAGAATAGCTCGAAGTGTGGCTCATTTAGTCAGTCTTACTAATTTGGATATAAGTCAGAATACCTTAGAACAAATGCCAGAGTCATGTCCTTGGCCAAGAAGCTTGAAATATTTAAACATCTCTGGCTGTAAAGTAGAGAAACTTACGGGTTGCATCCCTGACACTTTAGAAATTCTGGATGTTAGCAACAATTTTCTCTATGATTTTAAGGTGAGCCTGCCTCATCTTCATGAACTTTACATAAAAAATAACAGATTAAAAGCCCTTCCAGACACTGCCTTCATCCCTCATGTAAGGACTGTGAATATTAGAGAAAACAAACTATTTGAGTTTTCTGAGCAGGAACTGGAACAGTTTGTAGAATTGGAGATGCTGGATGCCCGTTTTAACAGCTTTCAGTGCAAGTGTGCATTTGTTTCCTTTGTACAGTCTCATCCAAGAATATATAATATCTGTGTTGATTGGCCTGAAAACTACATCTGTGATTCTCCAGATTATGTAAAAGGGGATCAGATAGGAGTTGTCCAGCTACGACTGACTGACTGTCATTTCAGTTTAGTCGTGTCCATCCTTTGTATTCTGATACTCCTGATCATCCTGGTGGCAGCATTTCTTTGCTACAAGTTTCATGTTATCTGGTATATACGCATGACCTTGGCCTGGCTTAAAGCAAAACGCAAGCCTCAAAGGACCCACGACCAGCCAGTCTGCTATGATGTGTTTGTTTCTTATAGTGAACAAGACTCTGAATGGGTGGAAAATATTATGGTGCAAATGCTGGAGCAAACAAACCCTCCATTGAAACTCTGCCTTCATAAAAGGGATTTTACACCTGGCAAATGGATTGTAGACAATATTATTGACTCAATTGAGAAGAGCTCTAAAACCCTGTTTGTACTTTCAAAGCATTTTGTACGGAGTGAGTGGTGCAAGTACGAATTGGATTTTTCTCACTTCCGACTTTTTGATGAAAATAGTGACACTGCCATTTTGATCCTTTTGGAACCCATTCCAGCAAAAACAATTCCTGAAAGATTTTGCAAACTCAGAAAATTAATGAACACCAAAACTTACCTTGAATGGCCAAGCAGTGAAGATCAACAACAAATATTTTGGTTTAATTTGAAAATGGCAATAAAAGCCTAGGTGACAGGTTGGGATAACAGACCATTTCCAGTAGAACCAGTTTTAGCAGCACCTCTGATGTGAAGAATTCAGTACAGTTCAGGATATACAGCTGATAGTCCAGGAAGCAAGTAGGATTTCAGAACTACTGTGATTCCTTGAGTCTCAGACATTTCCTTCACCATGTAGTTTGACTGCTTTACTGTGAGCAGAAACATTGGGAACATGCACTACTAGCCCTGTCCAGGTTTTGCATGTGTATCTGAACTCTCCAGATGTTTGTGAAAACCAAGAAATTAGCAGGGAAGTACGCAGTAGCTGATGTGTTGAAGGGGACAGTTCTAGCAGAGTCTCAAGAACCAATTAACCAGGAGAGGTTGAAGGAATTGATAGACAATATTTGTACATTGGATTAAGCCACTATTTGCTTAACTGTGATTTATTCAATAAGATATTATCTGAATTCATGCATCATGCTAAGCTGTAAATCATGATGTACAAATAACAGAGGCCACATAACACAGTAAGCCAAACCCAAACAAGCTGCGCTGTGGTTTGGTGTGATGTATGCACTGAGTGAACTTTGGCATGCCAAGAAAATGAGGCAAGCAGGGGAACTAACACAAATAGTTTTTCAGTCATGATTAATTATAAAAAATAGTATCTATTAAATTCGCTGTTGAATAGGAGCATATATCATGTGAATGCCCAATAATATAAGTATATATTATACTTATTATTTAAATATGAAACAATAAGTATAATATATACTCGTGTAACTTAGGCCTTTTCTGTTGTTTTTTAGAATTTGGTGGTTGCTAAAAGCAGACAACCACTTAATGCACAGAATCACTCAATTGCTGGATGGCATTTTATTGGTGGTTACTATCTTTTGAAAGCTCCCGAGAGCTATTAGAAGTAGGCCGCATATAAATCAGTTAAATACATAAAATGAGTAAGTTGCTTAATTGAATGTGTCCTCAGATAAACCATAAGCTGTGACTTCCTTGTTGTTTTCAGAATTTGAGAAGATACACAGTACATTTGCACTGAGCTTCATTCCTTTTCTGAGGGGCAGAAAGCACTTCCTGCAGATACTTTAGTTTACTAAGGGTAATGTGTGAAATATGTGTTTTCTGGTAACATTCTGTACTTCCTGACTGAAATAAAATACTTTTCTTAACTATTTGGTACCCTCTATATTCTAGCCATTCATTTGGTTCATCAAGAGATACTGATCCATAACTGTTAAACTAAAACACTGACACTAGTTTCCATTGGAGCCAGCCCTTTGGTGTCTTATATAGCCAGCTTCTGCAGGAATAAAAGTCTTTTAAAATGACTTGTTGTGTGGGAGCTCATTAAATTAAAGTTAAATATGCTTTTCAGTGTTGCCCATTCAAGGTAATTGTGTCTTGGAAGTGTGCAACCCCTACTGATTTTAATAGGGGTTGAGTGCATTTAAGCGCATGGAGTTGTGGGCGTAGTTATTCTGACAAGGGCAAAACGTTTTGGTAATGCTAAAAACAAAAGAGGAAATCTGGCAAGACAACATTTGTTTCAATGCAGGATATTTTCAGCATCTATTTAAGAAATGAGGCTGAACTTTGGCACGTTACATACGATTGTCCAAGTTTTTTTGCTACGGTGGCCTGACTGTCAGCTGCCCAGCATATAACCCTTGCAGAGAAAGGGGAAAAAATCTAAACTGCTTAGAATCACCTGCAAGCTGGCACATAGATTTCAAAAGAAATAACTACAAAGGAAGCCAGAGAAGGTCGGGGTGGAGGTTATTCTATGTTGGCAGGAGATGCTGCTGGAGTGAGAGATGACTGGATGAGCATGGAGCAGAGGAGGCAACAGCTGGGAGAGACGGAAGCCAGACAATCCATGGCCAGGGAGAAGAACCAGAAAGGTGCCTGAGGCAGCAGAAGCCAAAGGGGAACTGCAGAAAAGAACCAGCAACCCATCCTTCCCCCCATCCCTGCTTTGGGCCCTTGTCTCTAGATTGTGGCACAGTGAACTATTTTTTAAATTTATTTTTTATTAAAGATTTTTTTAAAAGGAAGATCCCCCATGGTTCATGGTCTGGCCTCAGGAGCAAGGATGACCATCAGAACGCTTGGCAGACAGGGTCTAGCAGGGGATGTGTCTGTGTTCAAGGCCCTCAAATAGCCAGAGTTGAACATATGCTGGGAGTGTGCTTGGGACTAAGGTTGGCAGCAAGTAGACAAAGAGCAGTGTGTGAAGATGGTGAGTCTACAGGCAGGGTGAGAAGCGCGAGGTAAGGACACAGGGATGGAGTTACCAGGGAGAAAGTGTGGGATGTCCGCTTCCAAGATGAATTTGCTGAGAACCAAGGAAGAGGCCTAAAACAAGGTCAAATGGTCTGTGGTCAGAGGCACAGCTCTGGCACAACAAAACCTGGTCAGAAGCAAGCTAAGGTCAGAAGTGTAGCTGGATGCAGAGGCCTGGAGCACTGGGCTGGATGCTGAGGTTGTTTCCAGCAACTGAAATGCAGCAAGGGCACCATTTAAAGCCTTTGCTATGCAGCTGGCACGGATAATGAGATGGCAAGCCTGCCAGGTTTGGGAGAAGCCCCAGGAATCCACCAGTCCCTGTCTTTCGCAATTCTGTACACTGCAATAAGAACAGCACCATTTACCAGTACTGTACCTGTGGCGGGATAGGGATCAACAGTGACGCAGCAGAAAATAATTCATATCCATAACAAAGAATCTAATTGCATATGTCATTGAAGGCTGTGAGCTCCTAATAAATATCCACTAATAAAAGTGTGTTAAGCATATCAACATTATCTTACAATGGCCCAGAGTATATTCTGAGGGGCTCTGGTAACTAGATCTGAAGCAAAATTAGCCGTTTTCAAAAATATAAACTTAGATGTGGCACTGTGCCGCTTTTGGTGAAGTGTAGCAGAATACAATATCCTCAAATAGGTACAACATATTTGTAACATTTCTGCTTTTGCCATGCATGTTCTATGTTTTCTCATAAAGGGCAAGTTTGGAAAGACTGCATGGAATCTTCTGTATCTCATCTATGTATGGTTTTATTTATGGTCAGTAAATAATTTCATCTCTTACCATTCACCCCCCTTTTTTTCTCTTCCCCTCCTTACTTCTTTCTCAGAACTATGCTCCATGCAAAGTACCCTGTGATCCATGAATACTTATGCCAGACGAAAATTGTTAAAGATGGCTGCCCTCTGGAAAGCTTATCTTTTTTTCTTTTTTCTTTTAAATAACCATTCCTGTTCCTGTTTATAGGTCCACCCAAAGATATTTCATTGCATGAACAAAGAACACTGTGGTCATCTTCATTTCATAAAAAATCAGCTGGACTGAGAATTGAACCTTCTATGAAGGACAATGGTCTGAGACAGTTTAGGGCAAGAACAGGCAAGCCATAGAGTATGTGGGGCCACAGCCTCCATTTGATACTCCCAAAGCACCCTTAGATTATGGGATTTGAAATTCAACAGCAACTTTGTCAATTTTCAGTAGCATGATTAGCTTCTTAAGCCACTCAGATACTAACTAGCCCCAACAGGATTAATGTCCATTTCAGTTCTGTCATCACATTACTGGATATGGAGTGTATAGAGAAGATACTCCCATGTAGACTTTAATAGCTAGATAACTAACAGAAAAACTTAGAAACTGGAAAATGTCTTAAAATAATGCATGCAGACTTCCCCAAGTATTGGCATCCTGCATAGGTGTGAACTTTGACTCCCAGAATCCTAAGCAATAGCCATGCTGGCTGAGGAATTCTGGGAGTTAAAGTCTACTCATCTGGAGGGCTTCCATGTCATGAAGGGCAGATGCAGTAGGTGTGAGTTGATAACTTAAAAGAACAGAGAAGGAGGAGATGGGGAAATTGGGATTACTGTAGAACAAAGTCACTAGAAAGAGGAACTTTAGGCAAAGGAAGTTATCTTCCCGAAATGATTATCAGCTTCTGTGGTGACAGAGTTCAACAACACCACAATACAAAGTGAAGCAAACTGCCCTGTTTGAAGCAGTCCTGCAACTGCTATTTGAGCAACACAATATGTATTTCATAGGTTGCTGAGTATGACCCCGACAACGTTTTTCTTCAAAAATGGAAACACAGACATTCCTTATTACCAAGGAATTACTTACCAAGAAAATAGGAATTATTTATGGCCAAGAGTGAAATTTGGCATATTTGAGGGCTGGCTTTTTTAAAATTCCAAATCTTGAAAGAATTTTAAATTGCTCCAGTAACAGTAATCCAGATTTCTAATCTTAATTGGTTGGTTCTTAATCAACCACCTGTGATTGTATTCATACACATTCTATCTACAAAACTTGCCAGTTAAATCTGGACTTCCTGATGGTTATTTATTGATAAATCTGGGAGAAAAAGCTGTTTATAAGCTTTTGCTATGGCTTTTATCAGCTTTCATGACTGAGGCAGCAGTGTAAGTAAATCCTTGCTCAGTAACTTCAAATAGAAGGTAAGGTTTGCTAGATTTCAATTCTGATGGTTGAGAAGTGTATAATTTCTAATAAGATAACGATTTATGCCAGAATTTGAACCAATGATTGTTTTAATTCTTTTACTCTGTTTTAGTGAAATTGGCTGAGCACTCAGGTTCTTTACCCAAAAGCTGAACTTTAGCACTTCGACTACCCCCTACTGGATAATTTGAGAGAGACAGTTGGACAGATGGCATCTTAAAAATGAATACATTTATTACAGGATGCAATTTTATCACCCTCTAGACCTTTGAAAATCAGCACATTTGTTAGTCTCTAAAGCAGTATTTCTCAGTCTTGGCAATGAAGAAGTGTGGACATCAACTCCCAGAATTCCCCAGCCACCATCCACACATCTCCAAGTTGCCAAGGTTGAGAAACACTGCTCTAAACACATTTGGCTGAGGGATTCTGGGAGTTTCCACATATCTTCACACTGTTAAGGCCGAGAAACAACGCTCTAGAGGATCACAAGGCTCTTGCTCTGCTTCTGCAACAAAGATGACTGCCCTTCCCTTTGAACCTCTAAGACAGTGTTGTCCAAACTTGGCCACTTTAAGATGAGTGGACTTCAACTCATGCTGGCTGGGGAATTCTGGGAGTTGAAGTCCACTCATCTCTGGCTGGGGAATTCTGGGAGTTGAAGTCCACTCATCTCTGGCTGGGGAATTCTGGGAGTTGAAGTCCACTCATCTCTGGCTGGGGAATTCTGGGAGTTGAAGTCCACTCATCTTAAAGTGGCCAAGTTTGGACAACACTGCTCTAAGAGATGCTGCTCTGCTTTATAGATAGAAGACATTCCTGGATGAGTTGCATTTGACTCTGATCTAGATTTAAAATATTCCTGTTGCTTGTAATGTGAGGGGAAACAACCCTCCCTCCAGGCATAGGGTTACTTCAATTTCACTTACCTCCAGCCATTTACCTTCAGCACGGCCCCAGAGATGGCACTAGGGAGGGATAGGGAATGTGTAAAATGTTTAAATATTTGTACAGGGACCACTTTCTAGCAATATTTCATGGCAACTTTCTTATGGAGAACTGGGATTTCCTGCAACTACAGCCCTGGAATTAATCAAGGAATGTGATTTGAGCATATATCTTTCAGTGCTCGTAGAACGGGTCAGGGATTTGCTCTGCTCCCAGCATTGTATGCCTTTCCCCTCCCTTGTATTCATGCACTGGATGTAGAGATTTGAGCCAGGGAATTAGGTACATATTTACACTTCTGTGCACAAAGGTCTTTCTGAGGAATCCTGCGTAAAGATCTTCATCCATTGTCTTCTTTGGGTGAAAGGGCCATCATGCCCAATGATCACTGGCACTGTGTGAAAGAGAGTTGCTGCTCCTTTCTTCCTAGAATGAGTGAGCAGAGTCTTGTGCAAAGTAGTTGATACACTTCCATAAGAAAGGAAAACATGCAGTTGTTTATCACAGGAAAAACGCTGGAAGGAGAGTAATAGTGCAGAAGATGTAAAAATAAAAAATCTGCCTAGAGCATTTTGAACGGAGTTCTTCTCATCAGTGCTCTTGAAGAATAAATTTTATCTGGTTTCTTCTTCAAACTATTGCAACTGAATTGGGGGTGGGACATCCAGAGTACTGATTATCTGGCACATAACATGGTCTCAAGAAATAATTACTAAGAAAGTGTGAATGAGAGATGATTGGGAAAAAAAACAACAAGAAATCTGACTTTAAATGGTTACAGTTTTTCCATGCCAACAAATAAAACCTGGCAAATTAAAAGGAAAAACTCCTGGAAGAACACAGCAGTAAACTACATCCATATTCCCTTGCTTACAAGGGAATTCCATGGAGGTAGCTATGTAGCCACCAGAAATCATGTATCTCAAAGCACATAAACACATTCTTAACAAATAAAAATGGGACATTTTGCACCTAACAATGAAAAAAATGGGGTGCAGTTTACTTCTGTATGCCAGAGTAATGAAGGAATAGATGTGGAAATCCATGTAGTGAGAATGTTCTTGCCTTTCAAATTTTGACAGGCCAGTAATCCATCACAAATCTGTGACCTATCCAGCACTTGGGACTTCTTCATTCAGAAGATCTTACCTTCTTTAGTAGTCTTATACAAAACTATATCCATTCTTTTATGTAGCATCCAGTGTTATAAGAATTAAAATTCATATTTGGGCGATAAATACTATTAATGACACTGGATTTAACTAAAGCCTATTATCATCAATCTTATAGTTTAAACTGTAGTATAATAAGTAAATAAAAACAATTCACTGCTAGTCAACTAGGAATAGATTATATTTTATGTGAATGACCATTTAAAAGCCTGGTTGAGTTCTGCTTTGGAGATTACCTGTATTTTGCACATACAATATACTTATAGATCTGATTTTCTAAGAGGACCCAAGTTTCAGTTGAATGTGCAGCGTGTGCAACAAGTTTTCAATTGAATATACATCACAATTGCACTAAAAAAAAACAGCGCAACAGTGAAATGAATTAACCCAAAAGGTAGTGAATGTCTCAGATATTTTTTATTACATGGACTAAAAAAATGGGTAAAATAAAAATGGATCCTATGGATATAACAGCTCTTTTCACAAAACCTGAGGATAAAAACACGACAAAGTGTAAACTGTGATGTAAAGTTTATGTACAAGAATATAAGGTTTATCTGGAATATTTACAAAGGTTGTTAAAGAAATATTTTACAACTCTTTTTTCAAATAACCACTACTTACTTTACAGTTAGGCTAAAGAAAGCTTTAATTTGTGAAGCACCAAATAGAGCACTTCAAATGCATATTCAGTCCATTTAAAACAATTAGTACTACAGCTTTGTATAAAATACTGTGTGCAAATGATTAACATGCCTTTATTGATGCAGTTCTTGCACAAGCAGCACATGCGCATGGATAATTTCTCTATAATGAATAAAACTAGACACATTCCCGACTAGATAAAATTAGGCCTAATACTCAAAGGCAAAACAAGACACTGTAATGGCTACAGTCGACAGGAGTGTTTCTCAATCTTGGGAACTTTAAGAGGGGTGGGCTTCAACTCCCAGAATTCCCCAGCCAGCATGAGGTCCACCCCTCTGAAAGTTCCCAAGGTTGAGAAACACTGGTCCATAGCAAGCTTCCAGTGCAACTCACTTTATGTTGCCAGAAGCCAGTCCCATAAAGTGCAATGGCACCTCCCAACGAGTGTGCATGAGATTGCAACTGAGTGCACTCCAAGCTCATAGACATTAGAGGCCTTAAGCATGTATAATTCTGCAGAGTATTTGGGGAAAGAAACTCTCATGACATTCTTGAGCTCTTTGTGCCCATCTCTGAATGTCTGTAAGAGTAAAGTGTTTTAAATAAAGTTTGTCTTTAAATGCAAACTTTAAAAGTAACTCCAACTTAATCAAACTTGGGCATTGTTATCTCCCACATTGTGATGGCTTTTTTTTTTCCCCTTGAACAAAACCAAACCCTACAAGTTGACTCCAGTGCCCCAATGAACATATAACCCATGCAGAAATGTTAGCCAGACAGAAGGTACCGCTTGAAACGGAAATCCAATATCAATAATTAAAGGTCAGTGACATTTTGCACAGATCTAAACCACACATGTTGAAAACAATTATACATAAGGAAAATCATGATTTGAGCAATTATAGTTTATGATATGTACAAAATGAGGAGGGGGAGTCTCTGTTCTTCTTAAAAGAAGCGGCTCTTTCATGCTGCCGTGCATTTATGGCTGCGGCAGGAAGAAGCGAAAGAGCTTAAGGCATGGCGACGGAACGTGACCAGAAACGGCAAGCAACTAGCACTGCAGCTTGCGGATGCTGCGTGAGAACCTCTTAAAGGCTCGCTGGCCTTTCTGCCATCGCTTGACGGAGGTGATCACCAGCTCCCCAGCCAACCTCTGTCCCATGACTAAATATGGTGCATTGATATCATTCATCTCATCACAGGTACACTGCAGGCCACCTCTGAGCCAGAGCACAGTCTTCTTTAGATCCCGCTCCGTCACCCCATTCAGCTTGTAGATGGTTTTGCTCTTTGTTTCTGGAGTGATCTTGGTGTCCCCATTGATGTAGGCGATCTCCTTCACTTTTATCTTGAGAGCTAATAGGGATAATGGGAGCAGAGCAGGGGTGGGGGAGCAGGGGGAAAGAAAGGGAAAGAGGGAAGGAGAGATTTTTCTCCCATTCTGGCACATAAAGAAAACCCAGGGACGGAGGTCTTCACTTGCTAATTAAACCAGAATGGACAGCAGGTGGCTCCATTTCTAAAGCCACCACCAAGGGCATGCATGCAATTTCAGTCTGAATCAATCTTGTGGGTGTATTTCTTTCACTTTCAAAGAAAAAAAAAGTCTTCTCAATGAGCCTTTTCCTCTAAATTTTGGTATTTGCAAATACTGAAGAAACTTGTTTTTGTATGTTAAAGAGTTAAGAGTGGCATATGCTTCTCACATGTGAGAGGGGAAAGGGGAAATTGCTATCTTTTCATAGAAAAAGTAATCTCCATTTCTCCTGAAAATAGTTTGACTTAATTTATAAGAGACTTTGCAATCATCTATTGCATTTGAAAGAATGAGCAAAAAATAACTGGGATTTATAGCTGCATTTGATTTGGTGCAATAACTGAAAAAAGAGGGAAACAACATCGTGCTTATTAAGAAAAACCAAATATCTTCTGGGTGGATATGTCAGATGAAAACATAACATTAGTTACATGAATAACAACTCTCTCTATGCCTCTATTTCTCCACAGTAGATACTCATTAGTTCCTGGAATGTCAGATTTTCAAGAGAAATATTCATCTCTTTTAATAAAAGATGCCCTTTCTCTACCACTATGGAACGCAAAAGCTTTGCCACAGTTGTTGTGGACATGTGGTAGATTAATGTAAGAATGTTGTCTATTTAAAATGTAACACCAATTTATAAATCTGAAGCTTATGAAAGTATTTCTCAGGTTTCCTCCCATATCTTTGTGGATGTCTTATGCCCTGGAAAAATCAGGAGAAATTTCTGTCTTACTGTGTTCCCAGGAAGCAATCCCACCCTGTTGCATAAGAAATGGGGACTGGACCTGTTTTCAGATTCACAGCAGGACAGAAGTTGAGGCCTCTCTCATCAGTCCCCTTCCTCTGCAGAAGGGAAATAGAATTAAACCAAGGCCTCCAGCATTACCATCCGGCTCCATTTCACATGCTTTGCATTTCTACTGCATAAGAGCAAAAGGCAGAAAACAATCAGAAAATTTCCTGGATGAGCCACATTCATATTATTTATATTTCTGCAACTCTGTAACACCTGACATGCCAGTTGCAGAGAATAATAAAAAAGATATAAGTATACATAACCAGCTAATTCCTGGATTCTCTTACTCCCTAAGGTGACCAAATGTGAAATCCAGAGTTGGATTATCTATACAGAGGTACTATAATTAGAATCACTGTTAAAACTATTGAGAACTAAACCAGTTTCTGTTGTCAGCCATGGGACAAAGTACAATCGATACACACAAAGGAGAAAAAAACACCTTCATCATAAGGAACAGTTTTGGCTTCTACTTAAGAGGGTTTTAGAATCCCATTTCTTTCTACGTGGAAAGGAGATGAGGCCACATTGGACAATGTTGTATGGAAAAGATGCATCATTATGATGCTGGATAGCTTGACTGCTAAAAGAACAACCTTAGAAGGACCAGAGCACATAACATGTTTATTTCAAAGAGCAATTCTAAACAACCTCTGATAGACTAAATAGAAACCTAATCATAATCCTATGATTATGTGAATTAGGACCCATTTTTGAATCAAAATATTGAACCCATTTGCATTTTAAAACTGACCACAGCTGCATTTCTTACAAAACTGATCATTGCAATCAGAAAACAAAATCCCTACTTCTGATTCAGAGTATCTTTCTCATACTTACCAAAGTCATTTCTGCAAAGGTTTTCTACAATTTCATTGTCATCTTCATTCTTGTTTTTGCAGGCATCACAAACTTTTGGCGCTACAAGAAACAAGTTTTAAAAAGAATCTTCAGCGGGGATTCAAAAGAAAAAAGTGGGGGGCATTTGGAAAGAAAAGATACAATTTTAATATACAACTATTATTGACCTCTATTTTATGACAGCCCAAAGGGCAGATTCTAGAGTATTTTGAGCTTGAGATACCTAATCAATCCCATTGGCCATTCAAAAACAGCTGAATAAAAAATAGGCAGTCATACTAAATTGATACCATAACAAGTTCAATGGGAACTGAGTGGAATATTGAAAAAGGAGATGGATATGGATTCTGAGAGGGATTAAAGTACTCTCCTGTAACCCCCCTACACCCCAGGTTCTCCAGAGAGAAGAAATTAATGCTCTGATGGAAGGACATGGGGAGACTCAGCCAACTTGAGGAAAGAACATGAAGCAGCAAAAAAGTGTATAAAATGCATTTCCTGATGAGTTTGCCTCAGGAAATCTCCTTCTCCAGGTCCATTATTTAAAAAAACTTGGGAGAATGTTATGTTCCCAACCCCCAAGTTAATTAAAGCCACATTTTCAAACACTAAGCTGAAAGCTCTTACTTTTTAAAAATGAGAATCCAGGATTGTGAAAGTACTGCTTCTTTTATCAATATTCTATCAGGCCCTTCATTCCCTCTTTCTCACCATTCTCTTCCTCAGCATCTCCTGTTACTCTTACTCCCTTTTTTTAAACAGTACCTGCAGAAAAGCCTCACTGGCCAGTTGACATGGGAAATGACTTAGTCTACAGATTAACCGTATCATTTTCCTAAGAAAAGAGTTACAGAACAATAGTTCCATAATTACAATATTCGATATGCTCCAAAAGTTAAAAGTACAAGCAGTATTCTGAGTCACAATGCAATCTTAGAAGTAGAAACTCAGAAGGAAGCTCTACCAATTCACTTGGACTTAATCCCAGATCTGCGTAATAGTGCAATTTAAGGCTGGCATCCTATATAGTACATACTGCTCTTAAGTAAGTCCCATCTGACTACATTAAAAGTTACTTCAGAGTAAATGTGCACAGAATTGCACTTTTTAACCTGCCCCTAAGTACATAATGTCTAGAGCTGCAATCCCAGGGGATCACTTTGTCCAAATAGACTTGCTTAGGAACGACCTCCAATGTTACACTGACAGGCTGGTAGGACAATCTTATACACACAGATCTAGAAGTACCAAGGTCTTACTGAATCCAGCCTAGCTTCATCCTGTGTAAAGAGTCTTGAGATTGCATTGAACTTTCCAAATCTAGGAAAGCAAAATCTAAACTGGATGGGTTTCTATCATTAAAGCACTAAACCAGTTTCTCCCAAATCATGTTTTGGTGCTGTGGTACTTTTTCGCTGTGTAAAAATTTGAGATGCATGGCATGCTCTATAGTTCTTAAAAAGGAATTCCCAAGGTATACTACAAAGTTCACTTTATTCCTCCAAACACTATATCTGTGATAAAAAGAAATCTGATACATAGAAGGTTGATCCCTCATTTTTTTCCTTTCGAAAGGCATTACAAATATTCTCAACAAGCTTATTCATCCTGTGCATGCCACTGAGATGCTTAGGGTGGCAGCCTAAGACTGCAGTCCTGTACATGTACTGGAAGTATATACATTGAATGATTTCTGCCCAAGTAAATGTGCCCCAAATAACCATTTACTTGGAAATAAACCCACTGAATGTAGAGGAGCTTCTGATTCAACATACAAAAGACCAGTTGCACCAGACTCAATCTTCCCCTCTGTTGGGTCTTAACAGAGGAATCCATCCTATACATTAATTCTGCTCTGGTCATCGGAAAACACATTGCGAAGTACCGCCTAAAGCTGTAATCGCGTCTTCCTGATCAGGAGTCCTTCGGATTTACGTCCAGGAGACGCTGGCACGACGGCCCCACCGCTCGCCCTGCACAGGCTCGCCGTCTACCCGCCATCAGCGGCTCTTACCTTCTTTAGGAGTCGGGAGGACGTGGTCGCTGCTAGCCAGTGGGATGCACAGGTCGTTGTCCTGGGGAAAGCGGCTGCAGTCCAGCATGTCAGGCCAGGGGAAGCCGAAGGCGGACATGACCGGGGCGCAGCTGTTCTTCACCTGTTCACAAAGCGAATGGCAGGGCTCGATCGTCTCGTCCAGGTCGACGATGCAGACGGGCGCGAAGAGGGAGCACAGGAACTTGCGCGTGTCCGGGTGGCACTGCTTCTGCACCAGCGGGATCCAGGCGCCCGCCTGCTCCAGCACCTCCTGCATGGTCTCGTGGCCCAGCAGGTTGGGCAGCCTCATATTGGGGTACTCGATCCCGCGGCACAGCAACAGGGAGGCGGGGATGGGCTTGCAGTTGGACCTCTGGTAGGAAAACTCGGGCTCCCCGAAGAGGAAGAGCCCGCGGGCTAGGCCGAGGCAAGGCGCGGAGAGGAAAAGCAGGCACAGGAGCAGTTTGCGATGGCGCATCTTGCCGAGGGGCGCTGAGCAGAAGTGCGCGCACGCTTTGAAAGGGGCCCGTGGGGGAATCCAGAAGCTGTCGGGAAAGGGCGGCGAACCAAGGCAGAGAGGGCGGCAGGGAGCGCGAGCCTCACCCTCTCGCCGGCTACATGCAGCTTCCCCGAGGCGCTCCCGCTTCTTCTCGCGCAGCGCGCACCGACGGACACGCAGCCCGCCACTCTCGGCGCCCAAGATCCTGCGGGCATTTTTAATGCAAATCGGGAAGGGGATTGGGAGGGCACGTAGGCGGAGCCATCTGACAAAAAGCCGGCATGGATTGGTCATTGCCTTCGCGAGGGTCGTTCTTCAAGCCACTTTTCATCGTGGTTTCACTTTTGGGGGGCGAGGGGTGGGAGGAGCACTGTCCAAAGAGCGGCTTTCCCAACGCGCGCGGTTCAACCCGCTGCCTAGAAAGGAGTCCAGCTCAAGGCTGCGTCGCGGGTCTGAGAGCCCGCTCGGCCCTCCGGGTTTTGTTCTCCGTCTCACCGATCCGCTCATCCCAAGGAGGGAAGCGCAACCGGCGCGAATCAGAAGCGCTGCTTCTTTCACCACGGCTGGGGCCTGGCGCCACTCAGGGAGAGACGGCACGGGCTGCCGCCGCCTTTGCCCAGTCGCTTGGGGCCAGAGAGGTCACGCGCACGCCATCGCCGCAGCTGCTTCAATAGCCGGGAAATTACGCCCGAGTGCCTTCCCAGCAGAAGGTGCTCGCGCGCGCGCCCGCACTCCCTCCCTCCCTCGATTACAGTAGTGGATCGGGCCCAGCAAGCAGAATCGGCCTACGGCGGAAACTAAGATGAAAAAACAATCGACGGAGGGCAGCGGTGTCTGGCGCGCCTGCCTTTCGGGGGCCTGCTTTTGAAAACGGGATATAATACAAGTTGGGAAAAGTGCAGAGGAAGTCGGCCAAAATGATTGGAGGGCAAGTTTAAAAGAATTAGGACTCTTTCGCTTAGAAAGAAGGGTGGCATAACTGAAGTGTAGAAAACCGTGCCTGGCCTGGAGAAGGCGGAGGAGAGTTTCCCATGAAAGCCGGTGGAAATGGAGAAGAAAGCCCTTATTCAGACAGCAGATAATTATCCCGTGGAATGCGTTACCACACGAGGGGGGTGGCCTGTAGTTTAGGATTACTTTACAAGTGATTACATGCATTCACGGAGGGCAGGTCTGAAAAGAGGCATTAAGCTGGGAGACTCCGTGTTGCGTCTGGGCTCGGCAGCGCGCTTCCAGATACCAGTTGCCGGAGCACTCCAGCAGGAGAGGGCTGTGTCTCCATCGCCTGCTTCTCTAATAGCACCCCTTTTGCTGGTCTTAAAAGAAGATGCAGAACTTAAATTCAAACAAACAAAATAATACATACTAATATAGGCAGGAAAAAAATAAAATAAATTAAAAGAAAATAATACATTCAGAATAAAGAACAAGAAAAGAAATATCTTACGATTTAAAAAAGTAGTTACATTTTATTACGCATGTTTCTTTGTTTTAGCAAATTAAATCTCAACGATATGGAATCATAGTGTCTTCTGTTTTTTTTTTTTTGCTGTCGTATAAAGTCAATGCAAAGGCTGAGAGTTCAAAAATTTTGTTAAGCCAGGCTTAGAGTCTGGTACGCACACATCCTTCCAGGAGAACAAGGTCACCTTTTCTTGTTATAATCCAAGCACAATAAACCCAGCATTCTTCATAAATGGACAAACTCCAGATTTGCGGGATATAATTTAATAGCACATTTGCATTTTAAACTTTAAATTCTTTCCAAGAGCCTGGTCCATCAGATAAACAGTGTCTACCCAAAGAGAACTGGCAATGGGCATGGCCAAAGCACCTTTCATCTGATTGTTCATCGCGAACGCAGGAAGAACAATAGCCAACCTTTTGAAAACACTCACTGGGGAATCAAAGTACTTTTGCTGGGTTAACCTATTTTTAAATCTTAATTAGCATACTTAGCATTTTTTAACACGTTGGACCTTGCTTTGGTAATATAGGATCCTCTATTCTCTATTCAAAATTTCTTTTATGTAATCCAGTGTGTGTGTGCCTGTGCGAAAGAGAAAGAGAATGAAATGTTGGTTTTGCTTCTAAATGCACGTAAACCTACTAAATGTTAAGAGGCCACTAAAACATCCAGACCAAATACGTGTAGAGAACATAAAACAAATGCTCCAACTATATATTGCCACTCAACGTTTTTTGGTAGATTATATTCCTTTTGTAGTCTTTCGGAAGTTGTTAAGCATAATTAACATTAACTGATTAAGTAGTCCATCAAGAGTTTTTTAAAAAAGATTTCCCCCCACTTTTTAAACAGTTGTATAAGGTTTCTAACAAGCTAGGGATAAAATACATTTTTCAAAAGGCTCATTATGTGACCTTAACAGTATAGAAATTATATTCTTTTATTTTTTAAAAATACTCAGTGGGGAATCCTATATGGCCTGGAGGTATTTACAGATTTCACTGCACCAGTAGTATCAAATACCTCTTGCAATGTGAAAGGTCATGCTAACTCCCTGAATGTGAATGAGAAATTTTAGGAAGATTAATTCCATTTAAAAGGCCATCTGCCTGCTCAAATGATATTTCTATATTTGCATTAACAGAAAATAAACCTAAATAAAGCACTATAAACTGGGAATTAATTATGTAACAGATCCCATGTATTGCCTGTCCCCTTTGAATCTCTTATTATGGGTATTAGGCCATATTGTTTCAAACAAGAAACCAACAATTTGTAAATATTTTCTCCTGTTTCCAATATATCTGGTTAAAAAACTTTAATGAAAATTCCATATTCAAAGCATACAGTTGGTCTAGTTCCAATTTGAAAGGGATGATATGATTCCAAAGTATGCTTTCTAGCATAAACATTCAAAGCTTCCTTTATATCATTTTCTAACTTTCTACAATGTATTGCCTTCATTTTTCCTACAAAAGGCATAAACAACTGTTTTACCTTGTATGAATGTTTTATACAAAAGGATGAGAGACAATCCTCATATGTGCCAATGCTCTGTTTGAAAAAAGAAACAAAACACCTATCAAAATGTGGTGGTGGTTGTGGCTGATAAACTAAAATACATCTATCAGTGATATATCAAAATATCACCTCCTTCTAACTTGAATTATCTTGTCTAAAGCCAATGACATTATTACTGAACCATGATTGTGTCGGTGTAACACGTGCAGGTAGATTAAACATGGACTGAGAAATTAACAATAGTCCAGAAGTGAACATATGCCATCTGGGGTGTATATTTAGTTTAGTTTAGTTAAATTTAATTTAGTTTAGTTGTTTAGTTAAATTTAATTGTATCCATGTATCAACAAGATTAAATTCTCTTGCATGGGAACAGTCCAACTCTTAGGAATAATTTTCTGTTTTGATATTTTGTTATGATCCTTTACTGTATCTGATACTAAATTAAAAACTCAGTTACAGTTATAAGGTCTACCTGTAAACTGAAAAGGTTTGCCAAACAATTATATAAAATATCTAAATTATCTCTAGTTAGACCACAAACATTTACCCAAGCTATTTCACTGTCTCCACTATTAACCACAACCATTTCATAATAATCTTCAGTGTCCAACATTTCTTGTGCAGCTATAAAACTTGAGGCTCTATATTGCCACCTCTCTGGCCATTTTTGAATTTTCACTTATGTAAATCTAATTCACACACTTTCTAGCATCCCCAAAAGTTTTTTTTATTATTTTTTGTATGGGATAAAATTAGCTTCTTGCCAAAAAAATAAAACAAAAACAAAAACCCTTTAGGCAGAAGCAGTTTCAGTTTGTAAACAATCTTCCTCCTGTTGGATGTTCTTCTCAGTTCTTGAACTTCTGGTGTTTCTCATTCCTTATGACTGGCTTGCTGTTTAGATGAATTGATTGAAATGTTGCACATTTTTCAACTTTACACAGTTGGATTAGTATTGTGTTGAACATTTCTTCTGTATTTTTTAACCCATTTTATTCAGTTGAAATGATTGCTTTCAAAATTGATTTCTGAGGAGCAGGAAAAAACCCCTGAATTCTCATGGGTGGGGCTACTTACTTGACTTACAGAGGAGTTAAAAAATGCCTGTGAATATTCTGTTTTTCACTGAATTCTCATCACTCCAGAAGTTTGCAGTCTCTCTCCAATGTGTCCCAAGAGAAGACATCTTGAGAAAAACTCTCCTGTGGGTCTTTTCCAAATCCAAACATGGAGGTAGTTAAGGAGGCTGCAAAATAACAGAGAAATATGTAGCAGAAGGAAAACACACAGACCCGCCATGCAAGGTCACTTTACAACAATAAGGTAAGCTCTAAATTTCTGCCAAAAGAAATTCTAAAGATTTTGAACATTATCCAGGAAAACAGAAGCAGAGTAATACAACTCATGTTTAAGGAAGTTGAAGAAGAATATATTTTGGTACAGTTTTAAGCTAAAATTTGCCTGGCATTTTAGACTGTAATCTTTATTAAATAATACATATTAACAGATAAGGCAATTGCATACATGTTTAAGCTTTTTTTATTTACTGCATGTGCAATTTCATAACTCTGTACATTATCTTCATTAGTTTGGAATGACTACATTATCAGGGCAGCTCTACTCTTAGACAGTGAGGTAGACTTTACAAAAAATATCTTGCATGTTATTAGTTATTTTATGTATTAATACTGTATTTTGCTGCAAGAGAGGGAGAAAGAACTTGCGAGGCAAAAGGGCCGCAATAGCAATGTACGGGTGGGTGGCTGTGTGTTCATGATGATTGTTCAACTTCAGGCAGCAAAATGACTTGGACTGACTGTACCTCTCATTTACAATTTCCTTAACAAGATGGGAGCCCTGATGTTGCTCTAACATTTTCACTGAAAAGGAGGAGGAAATTCATCATGTTCTTCTCTTTACTGATGGTAAATACAGAAAGGCAACTGGATAATGGTAAGGAATAACAAATTTGAGTTAAGAGATACTGTAGCTAAACAAGTCAACAATACCAGCAACACCCATAGGATCACTGTTGATTAAAAGAGGCAAGTAGAACCACATCTTCTATTTTTCATCAAAATCCATTACTATGGATTTTATATAGCATGCTTGAATTAAAAATGAGTAAATAAAATATATCAGAGCACAAGCTATTTAAAAGACAGGCTTCATTAGCAGACAGCATAA